TCTAAAACAACCTATTTCATTATAGCAAAATATGACAATAACATGAACATATATACCTGTTTAAATGCACCTTTGCTTTCTTTGAATTTCTCTGAACCGGAATGGAATAAATAGCACATTAAAATATATTTATTATATATAAAATACATTAAAATATGCCAAAATATACTAAAAAGCTTTCTTCTGTTCATATTTACATTTTTAGGACCATTAAAACTCACTTAAATTGGAACCCCCAGTACCTCAAAGAAAGATAACTGTAAATATTTTTAAAGTCTGGATTCTACAATACTACACTTGGTATGCTGGTGTCAATCACTACTAAATCTATCTCTATATATTTAAATGAGTCTATCAGAGAGGTGAACTTTCTAAAGAGCAATAAAGGCAAAAGGCTGGTGCACAGTTAAGCCTTACTCCTTAGAAGCCCTTTGAAAGCTAGAAGGGTGCCTAGTCAGAAAGGTAGAAAGCAGAGAGAAGCCAGAGGGCTGTCGCCTTCACAGTCTGGGACAGAGCCAACTATTTCCTCTGGCCTTGGTGCTGGGTTGCCTAGTGTTATTATAGAAAATCTGGCATTCATATTTAAAAAACAGTATTTTGGGCTAAGATGGCTTAATGGACAAAGCTTGCCACGAAGGCTGACAATCGTGTTCCATCCTTGGAACCCACACAGTAGGAAAGAACAGATATCCACGAGACATCCTCTGACCTCTATACACAGGCACCATGGCATAAGCACACAAGTAATTTTAAAAACAAAATAATGGAGCAGAGAAATGGCTCAGCAGTCAAGAGCACTTACTACTCTTGCAAAGAATTCAGGTTCAGTTCCCAGCACACTGACAATCACCCATAGCTCCAGTTCCAGGAGACTGGTGCCCTCTTCAGGTACATACCAAGTACACACCTGATGCACCATGTACATGCAAACAAAACACTCATTAAATAAAAATAAAGCTACAACTTTAAAAATAAAATAAATACCATTTTTATACTAGAGCATCTTACTTATAAATTTAAGTATCTTTACTCTCCACTGGCTGCTCAATTACATTCCATATATCATAAACATCCATCTATAAGTCTCTGGCCCTGGCCCATCACCATCAGATCCAAGTTTTTCAACCCTTTCTCACCATCCTTTGCCTTTCCACCCAACGTCGTGTTTACTCTGTATTGGTATGGAGATGAAGCTGCCTCACTGGAAAAGCAGTTACGACATCCAAACATTCCTCTAACCCTCTAGCGAGGGTCCTCATTCTACTAACATTTTATGTCCCTGCCTAGGACACAACAATCATCCACTATGACCCTAAACTTCAGTCCCTTCCTCTTCTCTGCACCTTACTCCACCTATTTTATTAGCCTTCTTTTCTCTATTGTCAGCGTGGCCCTGTCCAGTGGTTTGTGCCTGTACCCATAAGCACATTCAACATACATTCACCATTTCAGCAGCCAGCAAAATCCATACTACTGCTTCCTGTCTTTCAACTATAATGGCTTACACAAAGTGTTTCACTCTAATACCACTTTTACTGATTTCTCAACCCATTATAGTTCACTTCTTCCTTCTCCTAGCCACTCACACATGTTTTTTGAAACTAATCTAAATACCAACAACATTCTAATTGCCCAACAAGAGCCTTTCTTCCCAGGGACTAACACTTTTAAAGAAGCCTCTGTAGCCTCAATAGTGTTGAAAAGACTTTGAAAGTTTGTCACTTTGTCTTCTGTAAACCTCCAATTTTCATTTCACCTCTTTTTTCTTCTCTTTTTGATGAGACCTTGTCTCACTTTGTAGCCTAAGCTAACTTTAAATGTCTACATCATTTTATACCCAAAATATCTATACTCGACACTTTTTAAAGTTAGCACACAAACTAATGGGTTTCATTATGGCATTTTCATACATGTGCTATATACTGTTATTCAACTCACCCTCATGACCGGGTATTGTTGGCTGCCTTCCTCTCCACACTTCTGCTTTCATGCCAGATGTATTCCATTACTCCACCCCCCCACCCCGTCCTGCACCTTCCCTTTCCTTTAAGAGTTCCTCCTTGGGGCTGGAGAGATGGTTCAGTGATTAATAGCACTAGTTGCTCTTGTAGAGGAACTGTTTTGTCTCAGTACCCACACAGTGGCTCACAACCAGCTCCAGGGGAACCAACACCTTCTTTTGACTTCTACGGGCACATGTTACACATACATACACGCAGGCAAAACATTCATACATACAAAATAAATCTTAAATTTTCTTTTTCCCCCTCTCATGGTTCCATTTCTACTTTTATAACCTATAACCTACCCCCCAACACAAATTTAAATCTAGAGTCATCACGAGCTAAAAACATACAGTATGTCTGAGTTTTATCTCTCTTAACATGACAGTCTCTAGTTTTATCCATTTTCCCACAACTATTTTGTTTTTCTTTCAGCTGAAAAAGTGCTACTTATATTCTAGCACTTTTTTTCCCATTCATCTGCTGGTGGCTACCTAGCTGGTTTTATTCTTAGTTATTGTAATGTAGCAGTAAACCTGGGTGTGTACGTTTCTCTGTGATATGCTGACTCAAGAGTCCTTCCTTTGGGTAGATACCCAGGAGGAGGATTGCTGAATCATATATTAGTTCTATTACATTTCAAGAAAATCTCCATACTGGTTCTATAGTAGCTACATCACATACTTGATACTGTTATTATGCAAACACTCTGGGAAATACCAGCGATTTCCATGTGAGACACTTCATATATTCTGTTACTTTATCAATTTCTCCTCTTTCCAAAATAGCATATTTACATTTTCAACTGCCAAGAAATGGAACCTCAATCTTATTTATTTATTTCTTTATTTTTGGTTTTCGAGACAGGGTTTCTCTGTAGCTTTGGAGCCTGTCCTGAACTAGTTCTTGTAGACCAGGCTGGCCATGAACTCAGAGATCTGCCTGCCTTTGCCCCTACCCCATTGCTGGGATTAAAGGCAAGTGCCGCCACCACCGCCTGGCTGCAAATCAAATTTTTAACAGAGCCTACATAATCTTTACCCACCAAACCTACTCCTCCTATTGAATGATTATCATGACCAAATCTTCCAAGACAGAAATCTTAGCGTCAAATGCCAGTCATCTCTGCATTATCTTTCCCCATCCAAGTCCCATCAATCTTCAATAAGAACAAATCTTATCCACTTTACTTTCTAATCTCTTGAGTTCAACTGTCTTCAATCCTCTTTATTATCAAAGTCTTTGGGATATTTAATTTTCTTGTTTTGTTTTTTTTGAGACAGGGCTTCACTGTACAGCTTTGGCTGTCCTAGAACTCGCTCTGTAGACCAGACTGGCCTTGAACTCACAGAAGTGCAGAGATTAAGGACGTGTGCCACCTCCACCTGGCTTGTTGTGTTTTTTGAGCCAGGTCTTACCGGCCCTAGAACTCAATCTTCCTGAGTGCTGGGGTTACAGAACTACACCACTACCACACCCCAACTTAAGGGTATTTGAACGACTGTCTCTTGTTCACTTATTCTTACTCTCTACTGCTACAAGGAATATCTTTCAAAATAAATTTAAACTTGAAATAAGCTACATCTCAAATCCCCCTACAGACCAGCAAAAACTTAAAAAAGGAAAATACTGCTGTGTGTTGGTTAGAATCTAGAAAAATAGATAATCTCATAAACTTCATATGAGGAATTATGCAAAACATTTGGAGGTATTATAACCACACATAAATATACATATTCTTTTCTAAATTTTTATTATTGTGTGTATGTGCATGTGTGTAGCGGGCACATATGTGGAAGAGGATTTTTGTTCTCCCTAGAAACAATGGCTTTCTTTGCGTATTTAGGAGTTTCCAATAACTGGATCACCTACAGCAATGCCAAACACACAAGTTCCATAAAACATGTTGGAATGGATGTTTTTCTTCCTTTTTACAAGGACTATTTCTTTTAAAAGTTCTATCATAACTTGTTAAGACCGTATCTTACTTTGCAGCCTAGGCTTACTTCAAACTTGCAGAAGTCCTCTTTCCTCAGCCTCCTGAGTTTTGAGATTACAGGCATGCATACACCAGCACACCTAGGTTAGATACCTTAGTAACTTTTAAAAGATATTTCCTATAAAATGCTGGTGAACTCTATTATATGGTATCATATATGAAAACTAGGCAAGTTTATAAATAGTGTATTGAGTTTTTATTTACCAAAGTATAGTGCTTTAAGGAGTTAAGAACTTATACTGGGTTAGAAACAGTTCTACCCAACCCAGAGTTTTGTATCTGAAAGTGGAATCAAGAAGTATAATGTTATAAGAAGAAACAGCTGTCCTCATGCCAACTTAAAACATTTGGAGGGCTATCCCCCAAACACCTTAGTTTGGTTCAGTGCTCTAATAAATTTGTCATGCTTGAAATTATGTCTCAGTACTGTGCACTTTCCCATTCTGTTCCATAAACAGTATTTTACACACAATTCAAGTATGCAAGTATTATTGTACATCCAAGAACATAAGTTCATACTTCAGATTTTCTCTGTCCAGTGGTTTGTTTCCTATACCTATAAGCATACAAGAAAATAAGTAGTTTGGTCATACATTTTTTTCCCAAGTTGTTTGAGGAGGATTCCTAATGCTAAAAGAGTCCTAAATCACATCCTTCATGATTTTGCAAAGTCACAGACTGTCTTTCTGTAACTGAAGAAACCACCTCTTTCTATCCCACCTTTATATAGAAACAAGTCAAGCACTTTTCACAATTTTCAATTACCTTACAGACTCCAAACTGAAAACTCATTTTACACATTTATTTTGTTTTATTGGAGACAGGGTCTCACTATGTAGCCTTAGCTGTCCTAGAACTCACTATATAGATCAGGCTGGCTTCGAACTCATAGAGATCCACCTGCCTCTGCTTCCCAAGGGCTGGGATTAAAGGTGTGCACCACCATACCTGGACAAGGTATTTTTACACATTTAATTTTAATGAACATTAAGCAATTATTATTCAATTTTCTTAACAGTGTTAAGAAAATTAACATGGCTTAATTTAGAAAAGTAGCACCCCAACAATGTACCCCGATACTTACAGGAAATCATAAGGTAGTCCTCACAGTTGGTTTTGTCGTCATCTTGCTGATCCACAGGGATCCCATTGGCATCTATGACTGCTTCAGAGGCACAGTCTGCTACCAACACTTCTTCTGAAACAACATCGGCGGCCAAAGGATCAGTGACAATTTCTGCTTCTACTACAGTATCGTGAACCACATGTTCAACGTGACCAACGTCAGACACATGTATAGATTCACTTGTCAAGACATGTTCAGGCATAGATATCGAGGCTGAAGTAATATCAGAAGCTAAAACATCATCCGGAACTGTGCAATGTGTTAAAGAAACTTCTTCAGTTACATCTGAGTCCAGCACTTGCTCTGGGATGATGACTGTTTCTGATACATCTGCTTCGTCCATGATATCTGGACACTGGACATCTTCTATAACAACGTCCTCAATAACATCTTGGATTACAACTGAGTCTGGGTCATCAGGAACAAAGTTGTGCACGGTTATGTCTGAATCCACAACATCTGACACAAAAACCGTTTCTTGTACTTCCACAACAATTTGATCCCCATCCATGTGTGTAGCACCAGCTCCTGAAAAATAAGCAAAGTCTTAAGCAAGTGTGGTTTGAATAAAAGTGACCCCTATCAGATCATATATTTGAATGTTTAGTCATCATGGAGTGGAACTGTTTGAAAGCATCATAAGAATTAGGAGGTGGGTACTTTTTGGAGGAAGAGTGTCACAGAGGGTGAGCTTGGAGGTTTCAAAAGCCCATGTGGTAGGCCCAGTCTCTCTCTGTCTCTCCCTCCCTCCTAATCTGGATAAAACTCTGTAGTTGTCAGCTACTTCTCCAGCCATGTTCCCCACAGTAGTAACAGATTAAACCTCTGAAACTATAAGCAAGCCCCCAATTAATGCTTTCTCTTCTAAATGGTGTCTCTTCACAGCAATACAACAGTGGCTAAGACATAAGTAAATAAAGTTATCAACTTCAGGACTAAATATTCCAATCAGCAAAATTATTATTCAATTTCACCCAAAATACACTAATTTATCAGTTTTCTTAAACATTTAGATTCCCCTGGATCCTCTGCCTTGGAAAAATAATCTATTTTTAAATAAAATTTAAAAAGACACTTTTTAGCATACTCTTTTAAGTACTTACCCCAAATCAATAGATAAGGAAAAACTATTGATAATAATACAATTGAGACAAAAAAAAAAACCTTCAAGACAGTAAAATTCTAGGAACACTAAAACACATTCAGTTACTTAAGGCATGGTTCTAAAACTTAAGTAATGTAACTACAGGTGGCAAATGCATCCATTTATATGCTTTTCATGCATTTTCCTTCTTGGTCTATCTCCCTTCCCACAACTTGTATTTTTTATTTTCCATTTTTCCCATGATTTTTTTCCACTTCCTTCACATCCTTCTCCTTTTTGTTCTGGCACCACCAACAGTCTCCACCTGACTATGGAATCTTAGACTTTGACCTTTATTCTAGAACATAAAAGGATTGGGGTATAAGCGAAAAGGAGGACAGCAGAAAATCTGTCTGAGGCTGTCTATCTCTACTGACAGACACTGAACAGAAATGCCACTGCCAAGGGGCAGTGGGATAAGGGGAGGTAGTAGAAGGAATCTACCCTTGACTTCAGAGTACTGGATTCTATTAAGCCTCCTCCCCACTGTCACTCCCAAAAGCAGCTCATAATACAGGAAACTCTTCCAGAGTCCGTTTTAGTTAAAGGGGTGACAGGAGATGAATCAATTTTTGCCCAGAGATTAAATAACTTAACTGAGATCACAGTTTGCACAGCATATGGTGCTCAGTAAATATTGTTCTCAACAAATGCTACAAACAGAACTATACATCCTTATGAGAAATACAAATCAAAATTTTTGAAAAATCCAGTATCTTGGCTGCCAGTCCAGAAAAAGTTAAGTTTTATGAGTTAAGTAAAGATCTAAGTCTAAACACGAAAATTCATTTCTTTTATATGTGCCTTACATATACACCCTAAAGGTCATTCTTCATATGCATGTGCTTTTACTTCAACCCATGCCATGAAATGGGGTGTGGAATTTTCTTTCTAGTTGTGGTGTCCTATCAGCACTCATAAGTTTTGGGTTTTGGAACATTTGGGATTTTCAGATTAAGGATATTCAACTTGTACTGACAAGAATATTAAAATCATTTATAAGTAAGTCAAATTTTTGGGTAGAAGGATGATAATGTGTTCACTTTCCCATTTGTAGATTCTAAAATCCAAGAGTGACTAACTATGAGAGTTAACAATTGGGCCCATAACAAACTCTCCATCTGGTAGATAAAAAGCACAATGCAATTACAAGTCATTATACCTGTTGCATCAAAAAATGAGTTTGGCGCCTGTGGTTGTAATTCAAGTCCATCTTCATCCATGGCCTTCAATTCTCATCAGTCACAACTCCTACATCAAGGGGAAAAGTGAAGTCAGTGTTAGTTTGGGTATCCTTTTTTTAATGTCACATTTTCATTTTTAAGCACTCAAGTTTTATGACTGACAAATATCTAATAAATAAACATATACATCAAAAGGATCACCTTTACCCAGGCCCATTATTAACTGAGATACATGCCAGGTATACACCTATAATCCCAGCATTTGGGAGGCTGAGGCAGGAGACTCACAAGTTCAAGACCAATCTGGGCTACACAGAGGATTCCAAATCAGTCTCAGCTACACAATAAGAGCCTGTCTAGTGAGGTCATGTCTCAAATAAATCAATAAAATAAAAATAAATTCACTGCAGGGTAGTGGTGATATACACCTTTAAACCCAGTACTTGAAAGGAAGAGGCAGGTCAATCTCTATTAAGTTCCAGGCCAGCCTGGTCTACAGAGCAAGCTCCAGAATGTCAGGGGTACATGGAGGAAACCCTGTCTCAAAAACCCAAAAATAAACAAACAAATAAATTTGGTAGGTTGGGATACTGCCTATATACACATCTCTTTTAAAGATTGATTTGAGCCAGGTGGTGGTATCAGAGCACACCTTTAATGCTAGCACCTGGGAGGCAGAGTCAGGCAGATATCTGAGTCTGAAGCCAGCCTGGTCTACAGAGGGAATTCCAGGACTGCCAGGACCACACAGAGAAACCCTATCTCAAAAACAAAAAATTATTTACCTTATGTGAATGCATAACATACATGGTTCATGCCATTGGCTAGAAAAGGGTGCCAAGTTTCCCCTGGAAGTAGAGTTATGGATGGTTATAAGCTACCACATGTGTTTTAGAATTTGAACCTGGGTCCTCTGGAAAAGCAGTCAATGATCTTTTATTTTTGTTTTGGGTTGGTTTTTTGTTTGTTTGTTTTGACTTTTCAAGACAGGGTTTCTCTATGTAGCCTTGGCTGTACTAGAACCCAATTCTGTAGACCAGGCTGACCTCAAAGTACCTGCCTCTGCCTTCCAAGTGATGGGATTAAAAGTGTATGCCACCACCTCCTGGCAACTAGTTTAAGGTTCAACTAAAAATTCATTCTGTAATTTACTGTGGGAAATTTCTGCACAATTTTGCATTACTTCTTTAAACTTATATACCCTCTCTTTCAACCACTATATTGAACAATCATAGAAACCCAAAGTATCTAATTATAGTAAAGGTAATGGTAGTAAGAACACTCTAGAATTCCATTTTACAGTGAGTGACTCCTCTCCCCCCTCCCCCAACTCGAGACAGGGTTTCTCTGTGTAGCTCTGGCTGTCCTGGAACTTGCTCGCAGACCACACCTTACAGGTGTGTGCCACCGCCTTTCTTAATTGATTTATGCAATTTTTCAGTGTATTTAATTCTTTTGGCATAGGTGATTAGTACTAGCTATGAAATGTTTTTTTTTTAAAGTTCATTTTTGAGCACAATAAAATCAACTTCCTACTCTCAAAAGTCTGCAACCATGAGCAAGAATGAGAATCTCCTCCAGTGATCCCGCTTGCACTCTCTGCCTACCTCCATCTCTCAGTCTAGGCTGCTAGAACAGAGGAACTGAGAAGTCATTTTCCCACTTTGGTTCAGACCAGTGAAATAAAGTCTACCAACAAAAAGAATCAAGTGAATGCCCTGAGAAAGTAGACGAAGTACCAACTGATTTTTGGATTCTGAGCCCAGAACTCCCTGAAGCCCCACTTTTTCTTTCCTTGGGATTTTGCAAGGCACCCCAATGACCTTAATTCTATCTCACCTACTTAGCAAAAAGCAAAAACTTAACATATCAAGTAATATATTACCAAGTACTATTTGGTTACTACTTCAAAAGATCTGACACCAAAGATTTTACTTGCCTGTTTCTAAGTACTGCGTAAATCTCCTCAATAGTTTCCCTATCTCTATTTTCTCACTTTTTAATTCAATCTAAATGGAGCTATTAGATGCATCTTTCTTTGGCCTTTAATTTTGTTAGTAAATACTATATACTCATGAAAATTTTAACAAAGTAATTTTTCTAAGCATCATTCCTGTTTAATCTTAAGTTCTAACTCCAAACTGTCTTTCCATCATTCTCTTTCCTACCATTCTCCCAAGTACCTCCCAGCACCACACAGGCACACACACTTCAGTAAACAAAAATGTCAGAACATCTCAACCCTGGCCTGACACACTAGGGCCATATAGTTCTTAAAGAAATATCACAAGAAACCCAAAACTTATATAACAAATGTTTTTCAGTGTGTCAGCGATGATTCTATTCACTTCCAGGAAATAGCTGTTTTGTGTTAAAAACAATTTGAAATTAAAACAAATGATGGCTAAATTAATAAACAAAAAACCCGGTTGTTCACCCATGAAAAACAAAGTGTACATGCTCTAAACTGTCACCACCCACTCCCTACCAGAATTACCTCTGGCTAGAATTCTTTTCCCTTTCTAAAATTGCAACTATGAAATGACAAATCTAAGTTAACCCTTTTTTTTCTTGGGGGGGGGGTTCGAGAAAGGGTTTCTCTGTAGCTTTGGAGCCTGTCCTGGAACTAGCTCTTGTAGACCAGGCTGGCCTCAAACTCAGAGATCAGCCTGCCTCTGCCGCCCAATTAAAGGCGTGCTGAGATTAAAGGTGTGCGCCACCACTGCCCGGCTAAATTAACCTTCTAAGCATAACGAAATATTACATGAAATTAAGTCAACTAAGGGGATACATTAAGGTTCTTAGGTTCCACATTCCTCAAATCTCCCTACATAAGACTAATTCTCATTAACTCTAAAGATTCTCAACTTGTTTAACAACTACTTTGCTCCACTTTTATCTCTCTTGGCTTTTCTATTAAGACTCTAACAGGTAATCAATTCCACTGATTCTGAAGTTCATTCCTGCCTGTTTTTCCAAGTGCCATCCTAAGTCTCTTCCCCTTCTCTACACAGCTAGCTGCCCTGACTCCCCTCACCACACTAAAACTGAAGCCTAATCCTAGTCTGGTACACTAAACTATTTTCTCTTACTGTTTTCTCTCTACTCCCCTGGGCTATTTGCACAGACCACCAAAATTTATATACTCAAAGCAGAACCTTAAGCCTCTACCAGACTGACGACTCTTGGCCACTATTCCTTTCTCCTTCTTCCCCACTCACTGTCAGTCCAGGATGCCAGATCTTGTCAACTACTTCTTTGCAGAACTTCTCAGCAATCCATCCCAGTTCTTATTATCTCCAGTCTTTATTACTGTCTCTCAGCTTCATACTTCCTGATCCCTGAGGCATGAAAATAGCCTCTCAAGTACCCTTGCTCTTTACTGCCACTCCCATAACAAATCTAGGAACCCAGCACAAGTTGAATCGGTGCCAAATTCTGAGGCATTCCTGTTATCTGTGGAAGACTAATCCTCCTACCACTGCTTTGATCACGGCACTCCCCTGGGCTCAGAATACTTCAGCACCCCCCTACCTCACCCCACCCCCCCCACCCCCCATATTCATTCTACAATATGAACCTGACGTGCCAGGAGACAATTATCTGCTGTTATTTTCATCTTTTAATCATACACATATTCTAACATATTCTAGCAAACATGGAAGAGGGCCATTGCAAAACTCAAATAGGTTTGGAAAAATAGACTTTGTACTTACAAGTAGAAATGACTATACTGAGGGCTTTGTAACCCCTCCAGGGTTAGACTTGTTAATTCCCTCTGACAATCAAAATGAAATTGTGTTGTTAGAAATACTCTCTGGGGTAAAATCAAGTAAGGGTCATTGCAAAAGGTGGACCAACAATGACACGGATTTGTCTGTGGAAGTGTCTGTGTGCTGTGGAGCAGGAACCAACCTCCAAAAGTAGCCAAATAAACACAATGGTTCAGAGCACCAAGATGAAATCCAAATGAAAAAGAACAAAGAACCAAATTATTACTACCTTTCTCAAGCACCCTCAAAGCACCTCTGAGATTCCTTCACCCTAGTTTGGAAAACTATTCCCTCCTGGTACATAAGTCGTAATTCTGAAAGAAGTCACAATGGAAAATGAAGTTTTAAAGGAAATACTGAACTGGGAGAAATCCACAAAATTCCCACGCTTCCTTACTTCCAATCTTTAAAATAGAACAATAAACACTCCCACCAACTCAGTAGGAAGAGTAATGGCATTTTATCTCTTAAATTCAGAATTTATGATAATTTGCTGATTTTATATTTCTTTAATTTCCTTTTGAGGAGGTGGAGAGGGAGACAGGATCTTACAGCGCAGTCCCATGCTGGCTTCAAACTTATGGCAATCCAGCTGAGTTCTAGTTCCGTATATCCACACATTGCTTTGACTACTTTCTTCGGTAAATTAACAGGAGTCTTAGATATGTATATTGCCAATATACATATACAAAAACCACTTTTTTGCTTGTGGTCCCCTAGAACTTTGATTTAATAAAATGGCTGACTACCGTCATTTCTGTCACACTCAAGAGAACTAATTTGTAAACTATATGGTAGATAAAATGGTTCAAATCCCGCCGGGCGATGGTGGCGCACGCCTTTAATCCCAGCACTCGGGAGGCAGAGGCAGGCGGATCTCTGTGAGTTCGAGACCAGCCTGGTCTACAGAGCTAGTTCCAGGACGAGCTCCAAAGCCACAGAGAAACCCTGTCTCGAAAAACCAAAAAAAAAAAAAAAATGGTTCAAACTTCCCAAGAGTAACAAAAGCAAGCCTATCCAGAATTATTTTCAGAAAGTAAAAATGGTGAAAATTTACAGCTATAAAAACCTAATATCTTCCCTCCAAAGTAAGCTTTCCTAATTTTTTGCCACGTTGTTCATTATTAGCTATTTCTCCAAATAGTCTCAAATCCAGACACATATTTTATTTCTCTTAGGTTAACCCTCAAAGTCAGCTATTCTTTTTATTTTTCAGGACAGGGTCTATTCAGCCCTGGCTGCCTAAACTTACTATTAGACCAGGCTGTTCTCAAACTCACCCTCCTGCCTTTGCTTCCCAAGTGCTGGTACTATATTAGCCACTATATGCCTGGCTAAAGTCAGATATTCCTAAATCTCATCAGTTTTTATTTATTTTCGCTGTTATCACTCTAACAAGCTCTTCTCAACTCAAACGTATGCTCAGTGGGCCCTTCAATCAAGATTTGACCCCTTCTTAAACAAAGGAAATTTTCTTGGTTTTTTTGGTACTAGACGTTTCAAGGGTCTTTGAACAAAGAGCAGGTAGTCTACCAGAAAGTTGAATCTCAGCCTTCTTTTTCAGTTTCTGAAGCAATTCCTGCCTCAGTTTTTCCCACTGGTATTACAATATCTATGTCATAAGGTCAAGCTAAGTTCTTGCATACTAGACATTTTCTTATTGTTTTTCCAGGCGTTGCTAATGCATTTTTTTTTCAGAACTAGAGATTGATTCTAGACCTCGTACATGCTAATGCTAGGTTAAGTGCTCTACCACTGAACTAGATGGAACACCAGCCAGCTCCTTCCATTTTCTCTATTTAGTCTTCCTTTTGTTTTGTGGTCTCAGAAAAGGCTGGCTTGTACTCACGCAGCCCCAGGCTGGTCTCAAATCAGTAACTATTCTCCTGCCTCAAACTCCTGCGTGCCACTCTACTGGCTTCTCTATTCGCTCTTACTAGAGTTCCTATTACAGGATAAATACTCCTAAATCTGTCCTCTATTATCACTAACTTCCCTCTTATTTGCCTCTGAATTATGAATTGATGTGTGTGGGTATGTGCATGTGAGTGCAGGGTTCCAGAGGCAGGTGTGGGATCTTCTGGAGCTGAAGTTACAGATGGTAGATCTGTCCAACACGGACGCTGGTCTTCTATAAGCTCTTAACCACTGAGCTGTCTCTCTGACCCCCAACTTTCTCTTCTTATATCTACTTTTCTACTAACTTTTCTATACTAGCTACCTGGACAGTCACAAATAAGATGCTTTGTTTTGTTTTGAATTTGAGACAAGGTCTGTCTATTATGTTGTCCCTGGCTGTCCCGGAGGGCCCTGGGATCTAGAGATCCATCAGCCTCGAGTTCCTAAGCAAACTGAGGTGTTTTCCCCCCTATAGTTATCTTCTAAATTTTTTTGGTAGACAAACATCTTCCCAGATATTTCTGAGACCCCAATGCTTATTCTATTTCTTCTCTAGTGCTCCATTATTCAGTTGGCTGTTTTGGAAGCCCCTTCCAAACTGCTGGGTTTCTTCAAAAGCATTGTTCCTTTTGGTTGTTCACATTTATAAACAAGTTGCTAAATTAGTTACACTGACAGCCGGGAGACTTTCCTCAGCCCCAATGAAAAGCTCTGCTTTGACAAGTAGTGAATTTGGGTTCTAACAGTCACCATCTAAGTCACAGGCATCCTTTCTCATATCAGTATACAAGAGAGAGAAAAACCCGTGTCATCAGTCAGGCTTTCATTCAACAGTGGTAAAGTGCAACATTTTCCATGGCCAGTATCCTAGCCTGCAGAATAAGCCAACTAAAACACTGCCCCTTAGATGGGCCTGGTGGCACAGGCCGACAATCCTACTTGGGAGACTGAGACTGGACTGTGCTACAGAGTGAATTCAGTCTTAAAAAGAAAAAGAGGGCTTAGAATATAGCTCAGAAATAAAGTACCTTGCCTAACATGCAATACAACCCCAACCTTTGTGGATTTTGTTTAGTTTTATTTTTTGTTTTTTTTTTTTTGAGACAGGGTATATTTCTGGCTGTCCTGGAACTTGCTTTGTAGACCAGGCTTGCCTCAAACAGAGATTAGCCTGCCTCTGCCTCCCTGAGTGCTGGGATTAAAGGTGTGTGCCACCATTGCCCAGATACCCCAACCTTTGTTGCCACAGCACCCATTTTGCAAATTCATGTGTACAAACAAATGTGCAACTCAGATAATTTAATGCATTTCCTTCTGCAAAACCACCAAAGATAAGCCCTACCTACACCCAAAGGGAAATGGCTCAGCTTTCACCACCTGGCTACATCCACGGCTTGTTCTTACAGGATACCACTTCTTAGCCACAGATTCTCTAAAACTCTTGGTTTTTGCCATTGACAGATTCTAAATTGCTTTATTCAAGAAGAAAATCACAGTATTCTGATGAAAAGTACATTTCAGGGTTCCCCCCAACGCCAGGTTTTTATTTTTATCCTCAATTTGATTTTGGCAGAAAGGAAAAGCAAAGGTATTTGATCTTTATTCTATGTTGAATCCAAAGTCATAATTTTTATTGTACAAAAAATTTAGTATGGAAGTGTGTAAAAAAAAAACACAAAAGCTGGGCGGTAGTAGTGCATGCCTTTAATCCCAGTACTTGAGAGGCAGAGACAGGCAGATCTCTGTGAGTTCGCTTGGCTGGCATGTGTGAAACTCTTTAAAAAAAAACTAATTTAAAAAAAGTAAAGTCTTAATCCCAGCACTCAGGAGGCAGAGGCAGGCGGATCTCTGTGAGTTCGAGACCAGCCTGGTCTAAGAGCTAGTTCCAGGACAGGCTCCAAAGCTACAGAGAAACCCTGTCTCGAAAAAAACAAAAACACCCCACAAACAAAAAAAATTTAAAAAATTAAATCTGGGGCTGGAGACATGGCTCAGCAGTTAAGATCACTGACTGTTCTTCCAGAGGACCCAGAGTCAATTCCCAGCACCCACACAGTGGGCACAGCTGTGAGGTGGAGGCTCCAAGCCCCTCACAGAGAGAATGCCTGCTGCTGTGAATGGAAGAACTCTGTCCTTCTTTGCCCTGTCCCACTTGGAACTTTTTGTATGTTTCACTCAGGAATTCAATGCCAAGTTTTTGTTAGACTAGTTTTTCCATAAAACCATTCTGTGCCAATTGGTAATTTCAAGGTTTTGTTTGTTTAAAGTTTGAGTCCGAACTTTCACAATCTATTAAAAATTGGCCCTAAAATGACAAACTTAAAACCCTTATTTTTCCAAAACCCTTATTCTATTCCTGTTCAGATTAAGAACTGCCAAAAATATCCTCTAAATTTAGCTGCATTTGAAAGCTAACAATACCATACTGTGTTAAATGCTTTTAAGACTTGCTCGATGGTAGAAATAGTACAGGCTTTGCACTTGTTTTCAGACATAGAAAGCATTAACTCTTTTATAAAACAATGTCCTTTAAATTCATGCAGTAATTTACCAATCCACTGTTGCCATATAACATTCTACTGTTTATCATAAAGGAACAAACGTAACAACTCTGGTTCACCCTCTCCCACTTCAACTGTGACTGATTTTTAAGTTGCTTTGTACCTTTTGCTGAGATTTTCAAAGTCCTACTCGCGTCTCCTCAAGTAGAGTATTCTGTCTTTAGCTGTAAGTGCAGTACTGGAGTGCAATGTGTAAAACGAGGATGAAGACGGTATTTAAACATAAAATAGAGAGATTAATTTAATCTACATTGGACAAAAATATATGAAATAAAACCATCCACAGGTAAAACTTAAAAAAATCATTTCCCATCAACTGCAATGCAGGGTAAAGAAACGTTAGTGTTATAAGGAAGTGCTTCCTTGTCCATTTCCTTAGTTCCTCGAATCTCTGCAGCCATCTTTTACCAAACTGGGTATTTAATTAATTGCTGGCCTAGTCATCTGATAATTTGTTAACTTAGCTGAGTGTTTTTCTTATGCAGTCCCTTTCTCAATGAGTCATATATATAACCTTGCATTTAAAAAACAACAACTTAGGCTGGGCATGGTAGTGCAATACCTTAAATCCCAGCACTAAAGAGGCAGAGGGTACTCCTTGAGTCTGACTGAGGACAGCCTGGTCTAAATAGTAAGTAACTTCAAAGATAGCCAGGACTACACAGAGACCCTCTCTCAAAACAAAACAAAGCCTTTCTACTACATTAGAACTTAATGGGTTTTGTGTCGTTGTGTTTTTAATTTTCATTACACTTCTTTATTTAGTGTTTATGAGTAGATACATGTGGATGTGCATATTCGCAAGACTCACATCCTAGTGAAGACTCACATGACAGCCTCCAAGTCAGCCTTCCCTTTCTATCATGTGGTCTCGAAGAACTGAACCCAGGTAGTCAGGCTTAGCAGCAGGCATCCTCACCTGGCGACTCATTTGCTATTGCTAGGTTTTGATTTTTTGAAAAAGAATTCTCACAACAGCCCAGGCTGCCTTTGAATCACAACAATCTTCCTGTCTCAGCCTTCTGAGTGCTGGAATGACAGGTGGAGCTACTCTATATATATGCCTTCCATTTATAGTTTACTGTACGCTCACCTTCAACTACTTTATTCAAACTAATTCTCTTCTTAATTGTCTGGTAACTACTTTAAAAAAAATCACATATTGCCACTTGGTACTTTTTATATAGTTCAGTGCTAAAGTGCTTGCCCAGCATTATGAAACTGGGTTCTATGCAATACCACAAATATAAACTTTGAGCATTTATTTATGGTTTTATTAATTATTTTTGCTTGGGGTTGTTTGTTGAGAATTAGTCTTTCTATGTAACCCCGACTGTCATGGAACTCCAATGTAGACCAGATGGCCTTGAACTAGAGATTCTACCTGCCTCTGCCTCCCAAATGCTGGGATTAAGGGCATGGGCCACCATGGTAAACTAATTATGAACAGTTAACATCACTGTCCTACCACAACACCAACACTAAAAGTAACTACTATACCTTACCGACATGAACACGACTTCTATTACCACTTTTCCTAAATATGCTATGTTAGGTCTCGGAGATGCTGCAGTTGTACTACTAACACCAGTAATGGTCTCCACATGTCCTAAACACTGGCAAGAATATTGGGCCTTTCCATAACTAGAACAATGTTTTTAAACTGGCAGCTGCAGAACTGTAGAGTCTTTCTACACTGATCTTCTGTTAATGCAATTAGCAATTAAATTTTGCACAAATAACTTAATAAATCCTTGAGCTGTTAAACAAAAGAACAGGCTGGGTTTGCCCTACAAGACCAGCAGTAAATATGTTCCAAGCTATCAATGAGCGTTTAAACTTCAATCTTCCCCTGGAACTAAACTAAGGAACCACCTAATTTAAGGAAGGAATAATCTAAGGCTGTTTTTTTTAAGAAAGTACAAAGACAATAAAATACTACTAAACTAAAAACCTAAAAATAAAAGTTGGGGGGGGCTGATATAGAAAAAAATGGCAAACTTCTAAGATTAAGTTAACGCTAACACATTGAGGGGACATACAAATTACCAGCAGTAACTTTGTTAGACACAGAACCTAGGCTGGAGAGGCAGCTTGGTGGTAACATGCTCATCTATCATGTACAAGATCCTGGGCTCAATCCTACCACCAAAGAAAGAAAGAGGAGGAAGGAAAAAAAAACGAGTGTAATCACCATAAAGATTTTTAAAATAAATATAGCTGTAAGGTGTAACACTTTCAAAAATCATCAAGTTTTCCCCAAACTGTATGAACTATGCGAGAACACAAAGAAAGCTTTGTCAATTATTTTTACAAAAGTGATTTGTCACTTAAAACAAAAACACAAAACAATTTAACCAAACTAGAAACTTTGTGATTATGAATTCCAAGTTAAATATTATAAATAACACCTATCAGGCAGGTGAATCTCTTGAGTTTGAGGCCAGGTATGCTCTCTACAAGAGCTAGTTCTAGGACAGCCAAGGCTACACAGAGAAACCCTCTTTCAAAAAAAATATTAATAGTACAGACCCACTCCACAAACAGAGAGAAGTTAATACAGTACAATCATTGCCGTGTTAAAGGTAGGAGCCAAATAATAGTCAAAATTAAATCATTCAAAAAGGGAAGCAGGCCAGGCGTAGTGATGCATGCCTTTAGTCCTAGCACTCACAGAAGCAGGCAAATCTCTGAATTCTAGACCAGCTTGGTCTACAAAGCAAGTTCTAGGTCAGAGAGGGCTACACAGAGAAACTCGGTCTCAAAAAACAAAAACAAAACAGCTGGGCGGTGGTGGCGCACACCTTTAATCACAGCACTTGGGAAGCAGAGGCAGGCTGATCTCTGTGAGTTTGAGGTCAGCCTGGTGTACAAGAGCTAGTTCCAGGACAGGCACCAAAAACTACAGTGGCTAACAGCAAGTTTGAGCACCAAGTTTCAGGCCAGTTAGAGAGAGTTACATGAGACCTCATCTTTAACAAAAAAAAAAAAGGGCAATGTATTTAGAACCACTTAATCACAAAAATAAAGAGGCACCAAAATCATAAGACCTAGTTATCAGAGAAAAGTTTTCAAATTTCAATATATGTACCTCAAAAATAAGTTAAATAGCCGGGCGGTGGTGGTGCATGCCTTTAATCCCAGCACTTGGGAGGCAGAGGCAGGTGGATCTTTGCGAGTTTGAAGCCAGCCTGGTCTACAAGAGCTAGTTCCAGGACAGGCTCCAAAACTATAGAGAAACCCTGCCTTAAAAAAAGGGGGGGGAGGAATTAAGAAAAATAAGCAAGCCTCCAAATGAATTTGTTTTAATGTCAGAACACACAGAAACAAAGCAGAAGGAAGGCAATAATAGTTCCCAGAGTAGAAACACAAAGCACCCATAAAATGAACAGCTGGAGAAGTCTGGAAAGTACAGGTTAGTTACTAACTTATGAACAACACTAATAAAAAATGGTAATTAAAGTCAATTTCCTAAACATCATCGAAAAAACTCTGTATTTATCAAAACAGTTGAGAACTTATACTTTTCTAAGAAAGGAAACTTTATTTTGTATAAATCACCAAAGAGTAAAGAAAAACTCAAGAAAAGCCAAAAGGCCATACCATGGGAGAGAAGAGGCTATGGCTAAATCAAGTCCAGCTGGGCAGTGGTGGCACACACCTTTCATCCCAGCACTCAGGAGGCAGAGGCAGGCAGATCTCTGCATGGGCTACAGAGCAAGCTCCAGGACAGCCAGGACTACGCAGAGAAAACCTGTCTCCAAAAACAAATCAATCATCAATCAAACCCAAAACCTACCAAAAAAGGAAAAAGAAACCAAGTACAGTTTTACAAATGGAGACCTGTCTAACTTTCAATAATCAGATCACTTCTACTAAACAGACCTGTTTCAAAAAAGAGGGAATGCTCCCCAATTCATCTTACAAGGTTAGCTGGGCACAGTGATACACACCTGTAGAGGGAAAAACAATCAATTAATAGAATATCCTATTTCCTTAGTATCTAGGATTTTCATTTAGACTTACCAAAATTAAAAAAAAAACCTTTGGAATTATTTAGGTAGGACTTTTATACTATGTTGTACATGTATGAATGTACGCGTGCACGCACATACACACCCATGGCCCTATGATTCAGAGAAATTAGCAGGGCATTCCTAATTTACATTCAGGGTTCTGTGAGTCGCTCTTCTAACTCTTCAAACCTGTTCACTTGTTCCTAACAAAACTATTTTCTGTCAGCAAGTGTTGGTGATGCAGCGTTCCCTAAAACGCTTTACTATTATCTGTGGATTTTCTTTGAAGGCAAACACCCATTTAGCAACTGCTTCTGTGTTCTGTTGCACTGTTTGACATGAAATAGTATGAAACAATGCACAGATTCTCTAAAGTGATAAGAAAATTAAGAGTCCTGACCAAGCCTGTGCTTGTGCAATCAATTGTAACTATATGATGACACCTGCCTGGGCAAGCAATTCATTATACAATACCATCAACAGGGCTCTATTTTTATTTTAAGATGTTAAAATGTAGGAAGGAAATCCATGACATATGTCCTGAGAGTTCAACAATGTAAGATCAATTCACCACGCTGCTTATGAAAACAGAATAGAAAGTTAGACTGGTACAGCCCAGTTGAAGAGCACTTGTCTAGCTATCATGCACAAGGTTCTGGAGTCAAGCCTCAGCACAAATGGGGGAAGGGAGCTGGCAGCAGAGCCTCTAATTCCATAGGCTGTGGTAAGAAAACCTCAAATTCTATTCCAGCCTGAGCTAAAGAATAAATTCAAGGCCAACATAAACAAGTATGTGAAAAAAAACTAACAATAAAAAAACAGGAATGCAGGGGCTGAGGATGTTGTTTGCTTGTCTAACACGCATGAAATTCTAGGTTCAATCCCCAGCACTGCATACACCATGCTATCTAAAAGGCTACCAAGGAACTGAGCATAATGGTAAGAAATGGCAATAAATGTCTGTAATTCTGGAGGAGACTGAAGATCCAAAATTCAAGGTTATCCTTAGCTACATACAACTAGTAACAGTCTGGGATACATGAGGGGGAAAAGGAGAAACACAACTTGGCAGAAGAACACTGGTCTAGCATGTGTGAATCACTGAGTTTAGTCCATAGTGCCACAAAAGGGGCGTCAGAGAACA